GTTACCTGATTAGCCTGCCAGTGTAGGTCAAGGAGGCTGTCCCTTTGCTTGGCAATACCTTTCAGTGGTCGAAACATCTGCCATCTTGGAAGGCCCAGTCCTGTCTCAGCTTTAATTTTTCTTTCTCATTGAAAGCATCCCACCCATCCTTTTGAAGCTCCAGCCCACTCCCTCTCCCACCCAAACATGTTTTAGCACTTTGTTACTATTTGTGCCCATCAGTCAGCCTGTGTGGTCAGCGTAGTGTTTGGTGTCTTACACGCTGACATTCACTGGCTTGTAGAATGTTGACTTCCATGTAGCCACATCTTCCTTCATTGCTTGTCTCTGCATGCTGCTGGTCTACCTAGTTGGCACTTTGTTGGGCCCTGCTTGTTCTGCGGGCTTCCTGCTTCTTAGAGGCCAGGTGCTAAGAATTTGGGAGTCAGAAAGACCAGCTAGGGTTTCTAGTTCTGGCATATCACCTATTGACTGAGGGAAAGTTACCTGAGTCCCACCTGTAAGATCAAGAGTGAGCATAATGCCCAGCTGAAAGTCTGGATTGAAAGGCAAAATCTGACACCTCCTAACCTCACAGTTGCTGGGATTTAGCACATACCAGGGTTGGTGACTGTCATCATCACGCTTCTTAGTGAGGTGGCCAGTCACTGGTCCCTGCATACTTACACCTGCATTTCTTGTATCCACCTGCAGGAGATTAGCATCTCATGTTAACTGGGATAAGGGGGAATAAATGTTAGCTAATGATTTGGTCAAACCCTAAGAAATAGCTCAGCATCTCAGATTGCTTATCTTTGAAAAAAGAAGCTGGCATTTGTATGTGCACACCATAACTTTTAACTCCAGTCCTAGTTTATTAGTATAGGGATGAGGAATAGGATTGATGATCGCTTGCTCAGGTAGTGCACCATACAGGTAGGGTGGGGGTACAAGAGGGCAGGTGCTGGTACCTGAGGACCCACATCTCTGTTTTCAACAGGTGTGATGAGCTTGGGAAAGCTTAAAGGGATTTCCACAGGAAAGTGTTCCATTTCTATGCAGCCCTAAATACCACCAGCTTTTGTATTAACACAACGCATTAGAATTCTGGATCTGTTTGAGATTCTCCTGAGAAAAGGTTGGCGGAAAACCTACACAGGGATGTGAGGAAAGAGCTTAGGTCCCAGGAGATGGTGGATTCAAAGTATGAAGGGCTATGTGGGAGCCAGCTGTTCTCTGAGCCACTGGAGGCATTTTGGTCTTTCAGAAAAAGCAGTCGATTTTCTGAACTTGAAAGCAAGGCTCATTTTATTTTTAAAATGTTTAGACTGTGGAGGAGATAATGTATATAAAAGCACTTTTGTCAGCTGAAGTTTCATGCATATCAGAGCAACCTCGTTCATCTCCCTATAGTGCTTTGTGGGGCTCAAGACACTTTCCCCAGCATCCCTGTAGCACCTTGTTTCTGCTCCCTTCTGATGAAGCTGCTGTCGCTACTATTAGATCTCCTTTACAGGTGGGGGCACTGAGGCCCAGAGAGACTGACTGACTTCCCCATGGTCTTGTGTATAAGAGTGACTGAGACAACATTGTCGCTACCCCCAGGCTGTTAGGGATGATGACATTAATGCTGTTGGTCATTGGATTTGTTTTAATTTAAGTAGAAACCCTTGTTAAGCCACCTGTGGCTTTGTGGTTGGGACCAGCGGTGGAAGATGGCTTTCTGACCTCTGTAAAGCCACTTGTGTCTCTCTGACTCAGTTTTCTAGTAACGTGGAGGCAAGAAAATCTAGCTCTTCTTCAAGTGAGCTCAAGAGGGCTATCCTGCACCCTAGAGAGGATACTGCACCCTTGCTGACTCTCCAGGCTTCTCGAGCTGTGCTGTGCTGGGTCATCTTCCACACTGAGAGGACTTGTCTAAGTAGCTAGACTCACTCTTCTTCCCAGAGTGAGTTGATTATCCGAAGGAGGTCCTGTTCTGCAGGGTGGGGAGACATTCTGCTTAGATACCACCAAGGTTTGTGCAAGACGAAGTGACCTTTACTGTGGAATGCAAAACTGCTTATTTGTGTATGCTCCACAACCACCCTATGAGGTAGGGCTGCTATTTCCTCTTGCTATATGAGTCATCTGAAGTCCAAAGAGGTTTAGTAATTTGCTCAAGAGCACATGATAAAAAACATAGCCAATTTAAACCAGATAGTCTTGCTCTATAGCTTGTGCCATTAAGTAGTGTGCTAAGCTCATCTGATGACTAAGTGCCATCCACTACCCCTCCACTCCTGAACTCACCTCGCTACCACCCTTTCACCTATTACTCATCTATTCAGTTAACTTTCCATGTATCCATCATCCATCCACCCACGCATCCCATGACCTACCCTCTGACCATACACCCATGTATCTACCCACTCCTCCTACTAGCCACCCATCTGTTCTTCCAGCTACCTGCCTACCGCCCGTCCATCCAGCCATTCGTCCATGTTTTCATTCTCCTGCACATCCCATCTGTTCATCCATCCATCATCATTCATAAATAAACATTCATTTATTATCCATTCATCCACCCATCCCTCCATCCACCCACCCACCCCTTTATTCATTATATTGGCTATTTTTCTTGCATGGTTTTTGCTTCATCCTGGGGGAGAAGTTTCTCCATTCTGGGAGAGCCAAGCATTTGCTTTCTGACACTTGGAGACCGTTATATCAACACAAATCCATTAGCTCCCAAGAAATATCTGGACTTCCTTCTGACTTTCCTCGGTTGGTGTTGTCAGGAATAGTGCTATTTCAGGTTGTGCCAGGTTGCTTGTTTATTTTCCTCCCTATAAACCTACAAAGGGTTTCTCCCTACGAAGTTTTACAAATATGCAAACCTGCAGATTCTTACAGAAACAGTTGGCTTTCTGAAGCATTATCACAAATTAAAACTCAATTAGCCCCATTCCTTGAGCTAAGATTTAAATATGGATTAGTTTGGCATTATTTTACCTTTTTAAACCATTCCACAGTCTATGTGATATATCTAAAAATTATGTAATAAATCTAAAACAGATGTTCATGGACCATTTTATAAAGAAATTAAATTTAATAGAAATAGAACAATTTGATTTGAGATAAGTCAATTAAAATTGCCTGTGAAGAAGCAGTATCATTAAGAGACAGTACAGCTTACCTATTACTAAGTGCAAAACAATGGAAGTCATTTAATTATTTTGCATAGTCTCCATTGTTTATAATCCATTGGGAGAAAATCTTTCTTTTCCATTTTTTTTTTTTACTTTTTTATTGTGGATTCAGACATGTAAACATGTACCATGAGCAGTTATACAGTGAACTCTCATGTGCCCACAACCCATCTTCAACAAATATTAATTCTGTTTGTCTTCATTTCTCTTACTACTTTTCATAATTTCTGAGAACATTTTCTTTGCCACTTAATTTCAGTGAGTCAAAATTCCATTTTTAAAAAGAATGTCGACATATATTTCAATGTTGACATTGAAATATAATACAATTTTGGGGCCCTCCCTGGTGGCGCAATGGGTTAGGATGCAGCACTGTGAGCTAGCCGCAGCTGCTTCAGTGCGAGCTCAATCTCCAGCCCGGAGTGACCCACATGGCGTGGCAGACCTCTCCTGCTCTGCTCTCAGCCGTGTACTTTGTCGATCTGCCTGTTCTGCTACCCACTCTGTCTCTGGTGAATCCTCTCACTGCCCCTGTATCTGTACCCCAGTTCTGTATGCATAAATCAATAAATCAAAAAGAAAAAAAGTGAGTTAAAAAAGGAAATATAACGCAATTTTGACTATAAGTGGTTTACTTTGAATATACATGGCTGATGTTTTCATTGAAATATAGCCTATTTTAGGGGGAGGAGAGCACTGGAAATTTCCTGTTACTTTTAATTTAAAATTTAAAAAATTTGCAGTCAAGTAGAAAGAATAATAAATGAGCCATCACCTGTACTTCTACATAAGTCTCTCATTAGGTCAGGACTGCACTTTGCTAAGTGAGAGGTGTTTTGACATGTAGATACTAGCCCGTGGCCAGCTAGAGGGCCAGCTCGCCCCTCTGCCCCATCTTAGCCACGCATTGCAGGCAAGTTGCATCATGCCCAGTCACTTCATCATCAAGTGGGAATAATAGTAACGTGTACACCCCCTGGGGTTATACCCGCCACGTTATAGGCTCTCAACTGGTGAGTGACAGGTTTCCTTACCTCCCAGCGGCACCCTCTTTGCTGCAGCTGCAGGAGCTAAATGGGACCAGGTGGGCGATGTAAATTCAAGTCATTTTTGATCACTGGGGAAGATTTTTATGGCTGAAAGAGTTGGTATGATCCGGAGTATAAGTCTGGAGTGAGAGTGGTTCAAATCTCAACTCTACCCCTGCAATTACGGAGCAGGAGTGAGTGACTCCCTATGTCTGGGCCCCATTTCCTCACTGTAAAATGGGGAGCGCACATGTGGTGGTGGGAAAATGGGAAAAAAATGTGGTGGTGGAGGGAAAATAAAATGGGAGAGTCTGTGCCCAAGGCAGTAGTGCCCAGCTGCCAGAGTGTTACTGTCATCACTGTGATTCTCAGTTGTTATGTGTGTTAACACAGTGAGCACCATATACGTGCTCAATAAAGGTGGTATTGTCATAAGAAAGGATAAAAAACTGTCATTGAATTGTTCTTCACATGTCTGATACTATGTTGGTGCAATAAAAACAACAAAGATCTTTCGTGAAAGCCCAGAAAGCCACATCGAGCAAACATCCACTCTGGGTCGACAGGTGCATGTCACCAGCCAGACTGGGCATCACATCGCCATGGGAGGTGACCTGGGCCCATGGCCGCCTCCCCATGTACCAACACAGACCAGCCTCTAGAAGGCCGGAAGTCAATGCTTCCATGGGCTTGCCATGGCCACGGCAGGTGTTCTACCCTGAGGGCTGTGCCGTTCCTGTTGCCTGGGGCTGATATGTTTTCCCTCCTTGCTCTCTCTTCTGACTCTCTCCTTCTATTCCAGGTTGAAAGGATTGTAGACAAGAGGAAGAACAAGAAAGGAAAGTGGGAGTATCTGATCCGATGGAAAGGCTACGGGAGCACAGAGGACACGTGGGAGCCGGAGCACCACCTGTTACACTGTGAGGAGTTCATCGACGAGTTCAATGGGCTGCACGTGTCCAAGGACAAGAGGGTCAAGTCCGGGAAGCCAGCCAGTGCTTCCAAGCTCCTGCGCGACAGCCGAGGCCCTCCAGTGGAGAAACTCGCGCACAGGCCTTCAGAATCTGGCAAGAGCAAAGGGACTTCCAACAAACGGAAGCGGATCACCCCCTCCCTGTCCAGGCCCAAGAAGGGGTACTCAGCCAAGCCCCCTGCTGGAGGTGACCGGGCCACCAAGACAGTGTCTTACAGGACTACCCCCAGTGGCTTACAAATAATGCCTCTGAAGAAGGCCCAGAATGGGCTGGAAAATGGGGATGCTGGTTCCGAGAAAGATGAGCGGCATTTTGGAAACGGGTCCCCTCAGCCGGGGATGGATTTGAACGACTGCGTTGGGGAGCAAGACCTAGGCGAGTGCGATGTTAAGCATGCAGCCCTGGCGGAGAATGGGCTTGGTATGTGGCTGGTGTTTCTTTTGCATTTGCCTGTGGTGGTGGCGGATGAGGGGCTTTGCGTGTGGCCCTGGGGAGTCACCAGACCCCACCTGCCCCGCTGTGGACGCTTAGCCAAGCAGCAGCTCTCCTTTGTTTCCCTTCAGCAGGGCCATGTGGACTTGGTCAGGTGCCCACAGTGGTTAAGACACGCTGTATGTGGGGAGACCGAGGCACGGATGCTCCAGAGCTCAGGCCTGTAGTGGCGGAACATACCTGACTGCACTTGACATGCCTGGCCATGGTGACCACTCTAGCACCCCTTCTCTGGGTCTGAGGGCACCCCAAGTCCTCACTTCTAGGACCTCTGACTCATCTCCAAGTATAGATGTCTTTCTGGGGAAGTGTGACCACGTAGAGTCCCTGCTTTCTGCTTCATCAAGCCCCCTGAAACATGACCTAGAGAGGTGGCCTGGGTTGGGGGTCTGCCTCTTCTCAAGTTCTTATCAGGCTTAGGCCTCCCAAATATCAGCTAGACGCTTGCCTTTCACCTGATTCCTGGAGTAGGTCCTAACTCTGACCCCTCCCCTGCGTTTTCTTTGGGTTTACACCTTCTTATTCCTTCCTGGAGGCAACATAGCAGAGATGATAGTATTCCCTCCTGTGTCAAGTTCACACTTGTCAGCCTGGTGTTATCAGCAGTCACTTCTTGACCACGTCCCTGGGGGCTCCACTCCAGCCTTCCAGGTTAGCCCTCCTTACCAGTATGTGCATCCCCCATTTCTCAGATACCTGTGTGTACTTTGTGGTGGCATTTTACCTTGCGCTGCCAGAGCCTCAGCCTCATGCTATAAGAGTAGGCCAGAGATGCCCTGCATGGAGCCAGTGTGTGCGTGGGAAGAGGGGTACCGGCATGCAGGCGGGGCAGGCTGGAGGAACTCATAGAAGGATGGGCTGGTGGGGGGTAGGCATGCCTGGGGAGCGGGTGATTTCAGGGTACAGAATGTGTGGAGCATGCTGGCAGGGCAGGGAGAGATGTCTTCAGGGATTCTTGCTGGGGAATCTGAGCAATCACTTTTGAGTTTCCTCTTTCTCCAGAGAGAGAAATTTCACCCAAACAGGATTTATTTAGCAGTCTGCCCTAGATTGACTCACACTTCCGTCTGGGGATCCCTGATGCTGACATGACTCTGCCTGCTAACATCTATAAAAACTGTTTGTTTTAAAAATTCGTCTCTCGGGGAGGAGTGGGCTTGTGTAAACGAGGCCTGGCACACGTATCCGTGTCTGATGTTCCCGTGACAGCTGCGGGCGGTAGAGGAATTCCCCGACTCGGGAAGGGTGCCGGCAAGGAGAGCTTTGGGGGCTCCTTGGGTGCAGGCTCAGGAAGCTGGGCACTGTTCCCTGCATCCTGCTAGAGCAGCCCCAAGAGGGAGGGAGGACCACGAGGAGGACTCTTGGCTGCACAGCAGTGTAAAGGGGAGGATCCAGACTTGCCAGAGGGGTGGAAACAAAGGTGTCAAAGGTGTCCCTCTCGTTCCACACAGCTTTCTCGAATGGGATAGGGGTCCGTCCTTGGGCCTCATCCATGCCCCTGCTGTATAATTCGGCCGTCGGGTGTGGTATCCGAGCACTAGGAGAAATAGGCTGGGCCAAGACTGCTGGGAGCAGCGTGAACTCCAGAAGTTTCTCTAGTGCTTTCTTGTCTCTGTTCTCTGTCTCCCCACTTGTCCCCCCATGTTGACTGTCCTCTAGCCACTTGGGTCCCTGCCTGGATAGAGAGGAAGAAGCTGCCACCTCTATTTTGTTCTGTGTTGGGTGTTTCTGGAAGTCCCTTTTGCTTTCATGCTCCGTAGTATTTCTTGATGTCCTCGACATTCTAAGGTTAAAGCAACATCCTCAAATTTGGCATGTTTAAGATATCCTGGCACCCTGTAAAAATGCAGATGCCATAAATCTGGCTCTTTAAGACTGGGATGGAACTGGAAGATGAGTTTTTGAATGAGAACCCTGGGCCTCTGGCACATTTGAAGCATGCTTTGTGGCAAAACAGGGGTGGCAGCTATGTCAACTTAATATTAACTCAGCACTTCATTTTGGAGCACTTCCTCAGGGTCACCCACCATGCCGGTGCTTGGCATAGAGTCATGGAGAGACAGGTGAGGACTGTTTCCCCCGAAACTTACAGTCCATTCTTTAGAGTCAAGCGTGGATGTTGCTAGGCCGGTGTTTAGAAGAATCCTGAGGCTGGCTCATCGAAGAAGTAATATGCCTGTCGTGTATGTGGTAGGCCTTTAGCATATATCACCTATGGTCACTGGGTCATCAATGCCATAATCATTGTCAACCTTTAACACTCTAGTTAGAACTAACATATTATGTAGTTGGTTGGTAACTGGGGAGCAGAAAAGTCTGAGAACCCTTGAGGGAGATTTGTTGTTCCTGACACAGAGAAGGTTTTATGGCTCCACTTACCTTTCCACCAGAGGTAAGCCTCAATAAAGCAGAACCTTACACCCATGGAACCCTTACCCTGACTTTCCACCCAAGGATCCAGGACATACATATTGGCACGTGGGTGAGCCAGCAGCCTTTTCAGCATAGAGGAGCACTCATCTTTGTCTAGCAGAAGGGGAGGGGGAGATCCTGGCGATGCATTCCCGGCATTTGTTTTGGGGGTGGGCTGTTGCTTTTTATATGATTTTAACTTCTCTTTGATGAATTCAGGTTCTGCATACAGAGAAGCAACTTATGTAACATGTTACTCATTTTCTGCTGCCTTCCCTGATCTGTGCTGTGGGAACAAATGCTAAATCGGGGCTCCGGCGGGTGGTGTTTTGGTCTCCGGCTGCATTCCCCCAGCACTGTTTGTGAGGCGTGTGCAGCAGCTCAGTGCTGCTCCTGCTTCTGATTCTCCTCCTGTAATGACAAATGGCCCTGTGGTCCGGGGACCATCTGCCTCAGCATCCCTTGGGGAGCTTGTTAAAAATGGACTCCGCCCCGATTGAATGAATCGGGATCTCAGGGGGCAGGGCGCGGGTTATGCATTTTAAATGCTGAATTTTAACATCCATGGGTGTTTCCAGTACTTCCTGCGGCTGTGGTTGGTGGTAAGCGATGGTTCATAGGTCCATTTGTTAAGATCCAGAGTTCCTCCTGGGGTTTGAAGCTTGTAAATGGGAATGTGGTTGGCCCTTCAAAGGCATAATAACCCTAACCTGACAGTTTCTCCTCCTTGATGATGAACTCTCTACTGGGCATCTTTTTTCTTTCTAGAGCAGGCCGGTTCCATCTGTGCGGAGAAACTGCAAGGCTAGCTCACCTCTGCTGTGCCCTGGAGAACTGGTTAACCCTGTCTTGTCTAAATAGGCCAACACTTTGCTGCTAGACGCTTTCAGGTGCGCCTTTACCTATGTGAACACACCTGTGGCTGGTGGCACAACACATGAACGTCCAACGTCCAACATTCTCCAAATTCCCACAAAGCCAGTGGCTTCCATTGCCAATGTTGGTCCCCATTTCTTTGCCTCTTGGGAGTCTTTTCCCTTCCATCTCATGACTGGTATCTCCCGCCCAGCCCTGAGTCTCGGGCACTGCCTACTTTGGTGTTTTTAGGGTTGTGGCTTCCATGGAAAGAGTTGTCCCACAGGACAGTGCCACGTATGGTGCTTTGCCCCACACTCCTTTAGGAGTTCCTGGGCTTCCATGTCTATAGTATTCACATGTCTCTTCCTGTTCTCTCCTTCCTGATTCTTGTTTGCCCTTTATTGATCGTAACAGTGAGCGTGTTTGAAAGCACTTCAGACACCGAGCACACTCTTGGGATGCTGAAGAGCCTTGGGCTTGCAAACACAGCACTGTATCAGATCTCCCCCACATTCAAACACAGTTGCCCCAAACCCCAGAGGTTCTGATGCAGGAGGCTTGGTAGAGAGCCTGGGAATCCTTGTCACTAAAGCACCCAGCTGCCGCTGCTGGTCCAGGGACCTGCCGTCAGCACCCACTGCTGCTTGAGACAAAGGGACACCAGGGTGGTTGAGCTGAATGTGCCGTGCTGGTGGGTGGGCAGTGTTGGGAGGCTGTGGGTGCTTTTGCTCAGGACCTTGAGTTTGCTCCCCAGAGTTTGTAAGGTGAACTTTTGGCAGATGAGAGTTGTAGTCTGGCACATGGTTGAGTGGGGAACCCCTGGTGAGGAGACCTTGGGTTTATTACAAAGAGCCCTCTGGCAGCCTTGGCAGCCCAGAGATGTGGCTGTCGTCCTTCCTGTTAGTCATAGGAGGAGAATAGGTTTACAGTGCTCAAGTTGGGATGAGAATTCCAGGTCATTTGACTCTATAGCTGGTCCCTAAAGGACGTCCTGCTTGGCTTGCAGAGAGAACAAGGGTGCCTAATCCCAGCTCCTGAAAAAACAGGCCCTAGTTGGAGATGGGGTCTAGTGGGGCAAGGAGCCCGCTCCTTAGATTCAACCTCATTGCTTCCTTTTTTTTTTAATATATTCATTTATAAATTTATTATGTCAGAGCATGGTATTAAATATTTTAAGGTCAAAGCATATGTATGTAAAAATTCATTGCATGTTCTTCTTCTTTGTTTTTGTCATCTCATGAGAGCTCAAAGCAAATGATCAGAATAAGTACTTTCATGTGCTTACTCTTTTGCTTCCTTTAAAAAAAAATTTTTATTTATATGTCTATTTACATTATTGTTCATCATAAAACAATGTTTACTTCCCCTCTCCATTAATAAGCAATGAGAGAAGGGGACAGAAAGGATGTAATCTAAGTGTGACAGGGTAGCCAGGGTGGGCTTGGGCTGCCTGTAGGTGGGTCCTCACCCACGCTTAACATTTAATTTTCTGCAAACACACACAAAAGGGTAATGGATTTATTTACAAAAGGGGAAAGGAAAAGGAACAACCTAGGGAAAGAGAGAGGGATACACAGTAGCTGTTACTAGGAGTCTCGTAACAAACTAACACTGCTAGTCCCCAGTTACAAGGTCTGAGAGCGAGAGAGAGAGAGAGA